TTTAATTAAGACTTGCTCGCGTAGGTGGCTGCTGCATGTTGTGCCCTCGCCAATTCGTGCATATAGGTTGAGAGGGTGGGCTAAACTGATCCTGTCTCTTTATTCTCTTATCCCTCGTATTCTTCTCCCCCTCTCTCTTTCTTTGAAATGAATTGTAATTTGGTTGTTCTGCTGCTCAGTTTTGGCCGGCAAATGTACATTGTGAGAAACACGTCAGGGTTTATAAGACAAAGATGTAAAGTAAAACTATAAACTATTTCCAAATGGAGGCCTGTTGGAGGGGCCTGTTCCGTTCTGTTCGGTTGGGGATGAAACTCTGTTAAACTCTGTTAAATTGGGGACTGCTCTACCATCTGACACATCATCGCTTTCACACGTTGAGGTTCAAGTGTAAGGACTGAACCTCAAGTTCTAAGCTCAAGCCTGGAAAAGATAGAAAGAGACATGGTTTTGCTTCAGCATTCCAATCCGGAATGGTTTATTTTAGTTGGAAACATAATTGTCTGTGGCTAGGAGTTTGAAGTAAATTTTACCCGCAAAATCTGCCAGGAAATAATAGGCAGTTGTTAGTGCCCTCTAGGGGTGACCTAGTGTACATTCTGCTGATTACTAGACAGAGTCAAAGCAAAGGTTTTACTATGAAATAGGAAAGCAGGGACACTTGTCTTCTGTCATGTACTGTATTGTTGTTTCATAGGACTGCATTTTAAGAGAACTTCTAGGATTGAAGGCATGCTTATTTAATGGTAACCATTTATTTTAACCTGGCATACAGCAGCTATATTGTTGCTACTCGACTAGCCGGTTGCCCCCGCACATTGACTCGGTACCGGTACCCCCTGTATATAGCTCGCTACTGTTATTTTAGTGCTGACTCTTTAATTATTTGTTACTTTTATTTCTTAATATTTAATTTTTAATTTTTGGGGGGTATTTCTTTTGGTATTCTTTCTGGAAACTGCATTGTTGGTTAAGGGCTTGTAAGTAAGCATTTCACTGTAAGGTCTACACCTGTTGTATTCGGCGCATGTGACAAATAAAATGTGATTTGATTTGATTTTACTGTTGCTCCATTTGATTTGTTATTTATTTGTGGGGGAAATTGAGAAAGTTCTCTCATTCTATTTTGTTTAACTATGTTTCACTATTCTCTGCAGTACACAGTTTAGCATGTATTTTTACAATCATACGTATAGGTCTAACCAGATCTAGTAAATGCACTGCAGTGTGCCATGAGGTGTGTTTTTTTCACCAGCGTCCTGCTCTGTGAAAAGTGATAAGGACACAGGTGTGCTCAAGGGTTACGTGGACCACTACAGAGACAGAACACCTTTTACAGAGTTAGTCAGGGGGTTTCAATCCTGATAGAAAGCATTCATTAACATCTTTATTTTATATTCAAGCCATTGCAAGTGTAACAAGTACTATTCCCATCTGGTGACAATTCCCCATAATGTCTGTCATTGAGAATAAACCAAAAGAAAACCAAAAAGAAAAGATGGACTATTTTTTTCAAGGGAACCTCTCCCCCCTCAGCCCTGCATTCTGGTTCAGTCCAACCTGAGCATATGGGTCCATGGTCACCCCAAAGGTAGTTTTCTGTGTCAGTTGTCGAAGAACTCCACTGAAGACTCATGAAGCAAGGTTTAGGCTCGATCATGTCGGCCTTTTTGTTGCTCACGCTGGCCTTTTCTGCTACAGGAATGACGGCAGAAAATGTCACAGATACAGCTATTGAAGAGAGACCTGTAATAGCCAAGGGTATACTAAAGGTAAGTCTTACATGTGAACTGATGTGGTGATTAAATTAATGAAATTACTGTACTTACTTTGGTTTAAATGTCATACTTAGGAGCAGGACACATATTTATTGTTGACACATGAAGGCTACACTATCTTTAATCTAACTGCAGAGACACACATTTGACATGGTGGTTGTGGTAATGACAAGTGATCATTGTCTGTTCATCTTTCCCTCAGGCTCCAAGTGTGGTTGGATGAGCCATCAAGAAGATGCCTGAGCTCTATAAGTTCCTTATGGAGCGATGGGCATTGTAGTATCCTTCTATTGTGGTTGCTGTGGAGATTTCAAATAGAGTTATGGGAACTGCAGTAGCATTGTATTGAGGTTACTATGTAGATTTCTAACGGGCCAATCGTTTTTTTTGTCAGATCAAGTCTGCGTTGAACTGTAATGAGTTGTCATTACCTCATACGGTTACATAGTACCTCACGTAATTGTTTCCAAAACTTGACCCACCCAAAGCCTTTTTGTATTTTCTCACGACCTTACAGATAACCAAGACATTTTTTTTAGGGACAGCCCAGTTTTATACCAGCATGAATTGGCCTCAAACCACAAGTGTGTCTAACCAGGCCTTCAGGAAACATAGTTCTTCAAATGTCAGTGTTTAAGTATGTTTAATGATGTTAGATCTCACTGGAAACATATCCAGAAGTAGATTGTTCTTGAATTTGGTAGCGTTCTTGTATTCTACGGGCAGAGATTGAGCCCAGTCCTGGACTTAAACTGGAGAATCAGAGAATCAACATTAGAGAATGCTTTATGGAGAATCTTCATTGAAATAGATTTTTAGTACAGAACTGGGCTAAATCAGTCTTCAGGATATCGGCCCTACATGTTTTTTTCCTTGATCCTCCTTTCCATTGAAGTCACAACCTGGAATATGATTCAGGAGAGGAGAAGAATCCACGTCTGATCTTCTATAATGATAAGGATGAGGTTGTTCAGGTTAGATATGGATTCCCATTCAAGGTGTTACATGTCATCTACTGTACGGGTCAGACAAATATTATCTGCAAAATGCTTTGGAAAATAACATCTATTTTCTTGAGCTTGACTCAAGCCTGACAAGATTAGAGAGGGATAAATAACTATTGCAAGAAGACATTACACAATGAAAAAGAGGAGCATATCGGTGTGGTCTGAAACAGTTAAAGAGAATGTGATGTTGCAAATACATTACTCCTCTGTGTCTTTTGTATCCCGAGTGGCTCAGCGGTCTAAGGCACTGCATCTCAGTGCTAGAGGCGTCACTACAGACCAGGGTTCAATCCCAGGCTGTATCACAAACTGGCTGTGATCGGGAGTCCTGTAGGGTGGCACACAGTTGGCCGGGTTAGGGGAGGGTTTGGCCGGGGGGTGGGGGCTTTGCAAGTAGGTCGTCATTGTAAGTAAGAATTTGTTCTTAACTGACTTGCCTAGTTAAATTAAGGTAAAATATAAAAAAATGTGAACCTTTTAATCTTCATTATGGTTGCTTGCCTGTACTGAATGTAAGCATTTTGTGTGTGTTGTATCAGACTGTCTCTGTGAAGAAGATGAAGGTGGATGAGATCAGTAGCCTGCTGGACTCTCTGGGTTTCTACAAGAGATCTCAGAAGGGAGAGGAGGTGCCAGACGAGTTTCAACACTTTCCCCTGAGAGCTCCCAGGGATGAGTTGTGAGCAGAATGACATCTGGTGGCCAGACTCTGTCACTGCACCCAGTCACATATGATGAGTGGGGCCTCAAGGCCACAACATGAGCCAGGCCCTGGTTTGAGGACAAACGACTTGGTGCAGCTGAGCAGAGCAAAGCCTACCACACTGTCTCTTTGCAAAGTAAAAATAAATTTAAAATATGAATTTGTCAATAAAAGTTTAAACAAGTTACGTAGAATGTGTCTCATGCTGAATCTGTGGTTTAATATGCTGTCTATCTTCCAGCCAAACAAAACGTTGTACAGCAAAGTTTCAGCAGGTAATGATAGAGGTTAGTGTACGAAAAAGGTAATGTCGACTTCAAAGATTACATTCATTAATCCTGAACCTATTACAGGGTATTGTTTTCATTGGTTTTATTTATACTGAACAAAAATATAAACAAAGTGTTGGTCCCATGTTTCATGAGCTGAAATAAAAGATCCCAGAAATGTTCCATACGCACAGAAAGCATATTTCTCTCAAATTTGTTTACACCCCTGTTAGTGAGCATTTCTTCTTTGCTAAAATAATCCATCAACCTGACAGCTTTGGCATATCAAGAAGCTGATTAAAACAGCATGATCATTACACAGGTGCACCTTGTGCTGGGGACAATAAAAGGCCTAATAAAACTAAAATGTGCAGTTTGGTCACAACACAATGCCACAGATGTCTCAAGTTTTGAGGGAGCATGCAATTGACATGCTGACTGCAGAAATGTCCACAAGAGCTATTGCCAGAGAATTTAATGTTCAGTTCTTTAGCATAGCCACCTCCAACGTTGTTTAGAGAATTTAGCAGTACGTCCAACCAGCCTCACAACCGCAGACCATGTGTAACCACGCCAGCCCAGGTCCTCCACATCTGGCTTCTTCACCTGTAACTCACTAAAATCGTTGAAATTGTTGCATGTTGCGTTTACATTTTTGTTCAATATATTTTCAGTTTTCTCACAATCAATGTTCAATTTGACATCTGAAAACCGCTGATCCCCATCATACTGTTATGTGGGAAGCTTGTCTCTCCCTTTTCTGTTTCCCTTCCTCCTTGTTTTGTCCCCTCTTTGTCTGTTGTATCTGTATGTGTGTTTGTCCCCATTATGTTGGTGCGTCTGCCGGTGTGTGTCTGGAGTGGATCGGGGGGGCGTGCTCAGGATCTGCCTCTCCTGTGCAGCTGCGGGTTGTTTCCAGTGATTCCTGCTTACGCAGCTGCATCCTATTCTCTCATCAACCTGCACTACTAATTCCTGGGCATGGCTCTCCACCGGCGCCAGATCGTTGTTCTTACTAGAGCGTTCAGACATACCTCCCAACCTGCCTGCCTGCCTGCCTGCACTGCCTGCCTGCCTGCTCTCAGCCTCTCCTTCCTCCGGAGCCGACTAGCCCACTCTGTTCCTTTTCTTCAGTTGTTTTTTGGACTAAGACAAATTGAACTTTTATTAAAATAATTTTTGTTTCTTCCACTCCCTTAGTCGTGTTTTGTTCTCTGAGTGCTGGGTTTAACCATAGCTTAACAGAACGATTGGCCATGGACCCAACAGAGAAAAGCCGGGGCAAACAAAGACAGCTTCCACAAGCTACCAGGCTAAGAACGTTGGGGTGGCCAGTTTTTCCCCCAAAACCCAAACCCCATGCCCCCCCCCCCCTTTTTTTTTTTCCCCCCCTTTCTTTTTTAAAAAAAACCCCCTTTTTTTTTTAAATTTTCCTTTTTTCCTTTTTCCCCTTGTTTTCCCCCCCCCTTTTTTTTTTTTTTGGGGCCCTTTTTTTTTTTTTTTGGGGGCCTTTTCCCCCCGGGGGGTTTTTGGGGTTTTTTTTTTCCCCTTTTTTTTTTTCCCGGGGGGGGGGGGGGTTTTTTTTTTTTGGGGGGGGCCCCCCCCCTTTTTTTTTTTTGGGGGGTTTTTTTTCCCAAACCCCCTTTTTTTGGGCCCCCCCCCCCCCCTTTGGGGTTGCCCCCCTTTTTTTTAAAACCCCCCCCCTTTTCCTTTTTTTTTTTTTCCCCCCCCCCCCCTTTTTTTTTTTTCCTCCCCCCTTATGGTTTTTTCCTTTTTGGGGGTTTTTTTTGGAAAAAAAAAAAAAAAAAACCCCCCCCAAAAAATTTTTTTTTTGGGGGGTTTTAAGGGAAAAAAAAACCCCCTTTTTCCCCCCGAAAAAAAACCCAAAAAGGGCCCCCAAAAGAAAAAAAACCAAAAAAATTTCCAAACCCCAAAAAAACCCCCCCCCCTTTTTCCCCCCCAAATTTTTTTTTCCCCTTTTAAAGGGAAAACCCCCCCCCTTTTTTTTTAAAAAGGGGGAAATTTTTTTTCCCCTTTTTTTTTTTTGGGGGCCCCCCCTTTTTTCCCCCCTTTCCCAAAAATTTTTTTTTTGGGGGGGGGGGGTTTTTTTTGGGGAAATTTTTTCCAAAAAAGGGGGTTTTTTTTAAAAATTTTTTTTGGGGTTTTTTGGGGGGGGGGGGGGCCGGGGGGGGTTTTTAAATTTTTTTTTTTTTTTTTTTTTGGGGGCCCCCTTGAAAAAGGGGGCCCCCGGGGGTTTTTTTTTGGGGGTTTAACCTTGGGGGGAACTTTTTTTTTTTGGGGGGTTCCCCGGGCCCCCCAAAAAACCTTTTAAAAAGGGGGGGGGGAAAGGGGGCCCCCCGGGGGGGCCCCCCTTTTAACCACCCCGGTTTCCCCCCCCGGCCCCCCCCCCCGGGGGGAACCCCGGGGGGGGGCCGGGGGTTGGGGGCCCCCCCCCAAAAAGGGTTTTCCCCCCGGGGGGCCGGTTTTTTCCCCCCAAGGGGAAAACCCAAAAAAAAAGGGCCCCCTTGGGGGGGGCCCCCGGGGGGGGGCCCCCCCCCCCCCCCTTTTTCCTGAACCCCCAAAAAAAAAACCCCCCTCCCTTCCCGGGTTCATTGGGGGGAAAAGTTTTTTTAACCCACCACCCCCAACAAGCCTTTTTTTCCCCCCCCCCCCCCCCGGGGGGGGGGCCCCCCCAAAAATTTAAAAACCCCCCTTTTTTCCCGGGTTTTCCCCAAAAAAACCCCCCCCTTTTTTTTCCCCCCCCCCCGGGGGCCCCTTCCCCCCCCCCCTTTTTGGGAAAACCCCCCCAAAAAAAATTAGAAAAAAATTTTTTTGGGGGTTTTTTCCCCCCCCCGGGCCCCCCCCCCCCCCCCCTTTTTTTTGGGGCCCCAAAAAATTTTTTTTTTTGGGGGGGGCCCTTTTCCCCCCCCAAAAGGTCCCCTTTTTTCCCCCCCTTTGGGTCCCCCCCCCCCCCAAAAAAATTTTGGGGAAAAAAAATTTTTTTTCCCCCCCTTTAATTTTTTTCCCCTTTTGGGGGCCCCTTTTTTAAAAAAACTTCCCCCCCAAAAAAAGGGGGGGGAAAAAAAAATTTTTTTTGGGGCCCCTTCCCCCCTTTTTTTGGGTTTTTTTCGGGGGCCAAGTCGGGGGGGGGGGGAAAAAAAAAAAAACCCCCCCCCCCCTTTTTTTTTTTTGGAATTTTTCCCCCTTTGGCCCCAAACCCCCAAACCCCCCCAAAAAAAAGGGGGGGGGTTTTTTTTTTTTTAAAACTTTTTTTTGGGTTTTTTTTTTTTCCCCCCTTTTTAAACGCCCCCGCCCCCGGGGGAAAAATTTTTTAAAAAAAGGTTTTTTTTAAAATTAATTTTTTTTTTTTCCCCCAATTAACCCCGGGGGGAACCCCCCCCCAAAAAAACCCCCCGGGGGAAAACCCCCCCAAAAAAAGGGGGTTTTTCCCCAACCCCCTTTGGTTTCAGGGGGGGAAAAAGGGGGGCCCCCCCAAAAACCCTTCCCCAAAAGGCCCCCCCCCCCTGGGGGGCCCAAATTTTTTTTTGGGGGGAAATTTTTCCCCCCGGGGAAAAAATTTCCCTTTTTTGGGGGAAAAAAATTTTTTTGGGGGGGGCCCCCCCCCCTTTTTAAAAAATTTTTCCCCCCTTTTTTTTTTTTCCCCCCCCCCCAAAAAAAATTTTAAATTTTTTGGGGGGCCCAAAATGGGGGGGCCCCCCGGGGCCCCCCCCCCTTTTTTTCCCCGGCCCTTTTTTAAAATTTTTAACCCACAAAGGGCCCCCGGGAAACCAACCCCCTTTTTTTTAAATTTTTCCCCGGGGGGGGAAAAAAAAGGGGGGTTTTTGGGCCCCAAAAAAAATTTTTTAAAACCCAAAACCCCCTCCCCCCGGGGGGGGCCCCCTTTTTTGGGGGGAAACTTTTTTAAATCAAAAAAGGGGGAGGGGCCCCCCTTTTTTTTTCCCCCGGGGGGGGCCCCCTTGGGCATTTTAACCCCCTTTGGGGCCCCTTTGGGAGAGGATTTTGGGTTTTTTTTTGGGGGGGGGGGGGGCCCCCCCTTTTTTTGGGGGGGGTTTTTAGGGGAAAAGGGCCCCCCAACATTTTTTTGGGGCCCCCCTTTCCCCCCCCCTTTTTTTTTTTGGGGGGGTTTTTCCCGGGGGGGGGAAAAAAAAAAAGGGGGAAAAAAAAAAGGGTTTTAAAAAGGGGGCCCCTTTGGGGGGCCCCCCCCCCCCCCAACCCCCCCGGGGAATTTTTTTGGAAACCCCTTTTTTTCCCCCCCTTTGGGGGGGTTTTTTTGGGGGGTTTTAATTTTTTTCCCGGGGTTTTAAACCCGCCAAAAAAAAAAAAAACCCCCAAAAAATTTTTTTTTAAAAACCCCCTTTCCCCCCTTTTTAAAGGGGGCCCCCCCCCCTTCCCCCCGGGGAAATTTTTTTTTGGGGGGTTTTTAAACCCCCCCCGGGAAAAAGGGGGGGGGGGGGGAAATCCCCCCCCGAGGGGGGGGGGGGAAAACCCCTTCCCCGGGGGGGGAAAAAAAAGGGCCCCCCCCCCCCCCGGGGGGGCCCCCCCCTTTTTGGGGGTTTTTGGGGGGGGGCCTGGGGGGGTTTGGGTTTTTTTGGGGGGGGGGTTTTTTTGGGGGGGAAAAGGTGGGGGGGGGGGGGGTTTTTTTTTTTGGGGGGGGGGGGGGGGTTTTTTTTTTTTTTTTTTTTTTTTTTTT